GGACGTCCAATGTGCGACTCGTTTACCGCGTTTCGTCGCGACGGCTGAGAGAGAAAAAAAAATCTAGTAAAAAATAAAATAATATAATCTATCGGGGAGGGGAGGGGGGGAATTTCATAGCCATTATTCCGCGGTTTGAACACGCCATCTGGTCGTCCAAACACGCCGAACGAACACGCCGCCTCGCGCAGTAGTGCGATGTACTCGTATAATTATTAAATCCGTTGGACATAATATATTGCGGGCCACGTAAAGATCCTACTACCGTTTATAACAATGTATTATTTTGTTTTAAAATCCTTTAGATTCCGAACGGTTTTCGTTTTCTTTTCCGTCTGGAAACAACGGAAATATCACTCCGATCGAAAAATGTCGAGTGAGCTTTTTTCTGGCATTCTGGAACTAGTTGGTGTGTTGAGGAGGTCGAAAACGACCGGGGGAAAACGTAGAAAATTTGCACAATAACCGTTTGCGTTAATTCCGTTTGGTTTTTTTTTTTTTTTTTTGTTGAAATTCCGTTAAAAATAATCGTTAAACTCGAAATTTCCACCGGACATTTTTAATAGCCTTTTCTATAGACGTGCTAACGTTAATGAGCTATTTATATGCGTTTATAACTATATAGTTTTTATTTGGCTTTACGTAGATAACATTTTTTCGGCATAACAGAAATGTTTGAAAATTAATGCGATGTTCATCGTAAGTTTTACTCCGCGGTGAAAACAAAAAGTATTTCGTTCAACAAAAGTGATCAAAAATTTTAGACGTAATGATCTATAATTATCTATTATGTCTCTGGTTTTATGGCAGGAGCTGAAATGTCATTTTTGTCGATTTTCGGATTATCATATGTAAATAGTAGTTGAGAAATCGTATGTTTCAAGTGCTAGCAAACTATAATATGTTGTTTGTGCATATAGAACCATTTGTGTACAAGGACCAGAACTGATAAGTCATTATTTGATTATTCACATGTTGATAAAACTCGATATGTCTTGGGTGTCTTAATTGATAAGTCATTTTTCTTAATAAAACACATAATAACAAAAACTTGATATTATGTCGTTTCTTTTTCTTTTCCTTTCTTTCTGAATTTATTTTTCGCCTTTATCCCAGCTAATTGGAGTCGACCACCCTCGTTCTAAACTTCCAATTGACCTAACATCCCACCTCACATACACAGACTACCCGACTATACATACATTGTATACAATGTATAGAGTTGGGCACGCTTGAATGAAACGTTCAATGTAAGTTTATCAAACCATATTAAAACAACTAAAATTTCGTTCGGAATCATTTTTCATTAGCGATGAAATATAGTTGCACAAAAATTAAATTACTTTATAATTTATCGTATTTACCTTTCCAACTTTTGGTTGTTTATTAGCTGTCAGTTATTTTAGTGTATATTTAATCATTCTACATAAATATTAGATTATATTAAAAAAAAATGATTAGTGCCCCCCCCCTCTCATTTAACCCCTCGAAATGTTTTACCGTACTGGGTACTCGAGGTAGTAACCTCGAACCGTACAGATAAACGCGCGAATTTTTATATACATTTCACCAAACCAATACGCAACCTAATCGTTTATAATTTTAACGCATCGACCACGTTTCGATAAATCATACAAACTTCCTATAGATGCTCGCGCATATTATAACCTATACGTGTTTAGAAAGTAAACGCATTTAATTTTTTGTAATTTATGCGTGCGTTTCGCCGGTTTTAAATACGTACACTCTACACTGTTGTGTTACGCCAATAACACAATAAATTATAATAATTTTCCATTTCTAACCGATAAAATATATTATTATAATGATAATATTATGATGCAAGTGCCTAACCTGCCTACCTATACGTACAATCTGCCTGCCCATTTTTTACACAAACGATTACACCTACTACGACGGAGCGATGAAGACGATAAAAAAAAATAATAATAATAAAATAAATGTGAATGTAACTGCACGGCGACGTATAATAATAATAATTATCATGCCGATAGCATAGCGGATAATTTTATTTTTTCTTGTAAAACCAGATACGTGTTAGTTAAATTTATCGCCGTCTCGAATTTTCGTTTATATTTTAGGTTTACACGATTCGGCCGGTATACGCGGACATATTTTATAGGCATATAATATAATTTGAAAAAATTTGAACGTCCAGAGATCCATAAAAGCCATTCCTACGGTGTAAACTACCGTTACGTTCTGTTGTAACAACAGCATAAACCGGCGACGGGTTACGGTCAGTGTGTTGCATAGATATGATTTTATTTTAAATATTTAGACAAAGATAAAAAATAATCACTAGAATAATACTTTAAAAAATAATCATTATTTTTTAAATGAAGGTATAAAACAAGAAAAAATATTGTTTTAATTACCTTATTTGAAACTATAATAATAAATGCTTAAAATAGTGATCGTGTACTAGATTATGGTGCATACCGGAGTATATGGTGCATTTCCAAAAAGATTGTATGATTGGTGTACTTACTTATGAATTATGTTAATTATTTCTAATAATTACAAAAATTAAGATTTATCTAGACGGGATAAAAGAAAATATAACATATACCCATCTAGATAAAATACAACACTGCTTACGGTACGATTATTAGATTCTGAGTGTAGCGTAGAAACTATTAATATGTACCAAGATACGCTAATTCTACAAAGGTGTAAAACACTTTATCGGTCAGTAAAAATGCCGCGATTAGTTCATGCCGTAGCTTAAATTATGCGGAATTTCCGTACGACGATATTTATTATTTTTTTTTGGATTTTAAAACAAACTGAGAAAAAACTCAGCACAAATGATAATATATCGCGTTTGTTTTGTTGCTCTTGGATAACCAAGAGCAACAAGGGATAAAACACGACCCTGTCAGTATACCGAGCTCCGCTCAGGACCGTTTTACGATTACAACGATTTGCCGTTGTTTGCTGCATACTAACTAACATTATCCTATACTGAAACTTCTTACCAATACATCAGTGCATATCACCTACCCTTCGCGGTGCGAAGTATATTCGTCCGACTTTTTACAACACTATTAATTTCGTTTTTTATTAATTTAATTTGCGTTTCGATAAAATAATTACTACGACGCGCGACGCTAAACAAATATTGTCGAAAAGGATTTAGTATCACTCTATCGGCATAAATACCTAAATGAATTTGAGTACCTGCTTACTTAAAGTACCTGCTTACTGCGGCTGCGATACGATGTGTTCATACTTCAAAGGCATGACTTGACTGTTTCGTGGCAGAAAAAGCCAACCAAAATTGTAAGAAACTTTCCACTATTTCGGACGACCTAAAGAACTGGCGTAACCGTGCCTTCAAAATGTATATTTTAAAACAATTAAATTCAATGCTTTTATTACTCTCCTAAATATTTTTAGAATGTTTCATTATTCCCGGGCTAATGACTGACTTTTTACGCATCGTAAATTATCAAAGAAATTCCCGATTGTAATTGTTAACAACATTGTCTATTGACAAACATATAGTTTCTCTATTAATATCAGACTCATTTAACCATAATTTATCCATTTATAACGATTCGTATTGTTACTTATTCAGATGTCAGATGATTGATTGATAAGACGTATCTTGAATTGTAAACGAACAGCGTCTAAATGGAATGTGGACGGAAGAAGAGAAATGTCATCGTCGGTTTCTAATTTCAATAAATGAACCCCATACTTCCAATCGTCTTTAATGTTTTTTTTTTCTGAAATCCTAAATGTACCCCAGACGTCGGTCCAACGTTTGATAGTAAGTATACACTATATACACATGATTATTTTTATCGACGGCGGTAACAATCTATATTATAACGATAATAACGACACCCGACCCGTATACAGCCCGCCGCCCTACGCCAGAAATGGCGTTCTGTGTACGCGACAGATAACGGTGATAATACAATCCCGCGCGTTATTATAATAACAATAATATCGTGTTGGACGTGTGCGCGTTCACCGCGACGTTCGGCGTCTCAAGGACTCAGAATTTGAACATTATAATATTATACTCGCCTCGGCGTGTAATTAATAATACGGATTACCGATGGCTCGGGGGTCCGGCGGTTTTCGGGCCCGGCGACCGCGGTACCTAATCACCGTAATAATAACGCGCCTGCCCGTTTCGACGGTCCGCCAACACACTGCACCGTTATTATGTGTTTAAGTAGGTATATTATGTAGACCGTAAGTACTCGTGCGCATACCTATCTATAATATTAAAAATACTGCATAATATTATGCTCGTATACGTTTTGAAACGTACGAACGAGAAACGCAATCATAATAATATGCCGAGAGACTGTCCGCGCGAGACCTGCGATTATATTACCGTGTAATTAGATACGTTCTACGGCCCGAAGTCGGCACCAAATCAAATGTCCCCCGTGAAATTATTATCCGTAACTAGGTATCGATACGGGTATTATCAAAATACGGGGGAAATACCGAAAAAAAATGTTTGGGAAAATCAAACAGAAAAAGGCAGATATCGCGAGAGAAATGATGCATAACGATTCTGAGTAGAGTGTTACTAGTCGCGTTTTTTCCCCGTTGACAAGACATCGAAAAATCAACAGAAAATTGTACCGAAACTACTAGTTTTTCCGATTTTTCCTTTACAAGGGAAATCCGAAAATTACCTACTCGATGCACCGACAAAATCGAAAACTTTACAAGAGAGTTCGTAACTGTAGCAAGATTTCTAGCAGACAATTGGTTTCACTCATCATATTTAGTAAGACCAATACATTACTCGTTTCACTCAGAATCTAAAAATAGGTACCCAAAAATAATATTTTCAAGAAAGAAAATCATTGACAAGGAACGTTTTTTTATCTACATTTAGTAATTATTTTATATTTTCTAGTGTTTTTACAACTTTTTTACAATTTTTCGGAAATAATAAAAAAAATATTCTTAAAAAATTAACGTTTCCAGAAAAATAATCCCATTTTTTTTCTTTCGGAAATCTTGATTCTTAATCGTGATGATGGGGAAAAAATAGTCAATAAATTTGTTCAAGTGTAGGTCATAATTTTACGATCTCCCGCAGTTCCCGTAAACTCGTTTGGTCGTATATTTTACGCCTAAACGACAATATCGATTGATTTTTCGCTTTTCGCCGCGTATCGACGAAAACACTTCACCATCGGCGCTTATTTGCTTTTTCTTCTTCCTCGCGATTTTGTATAATATTCTCTCTTGTCAATAATTCATTACACCACATTTATCCTGGTCTTGTTTCACTCAATTATCGTATCTTATGGATGTCCTCTATAGTTTTTTCCCTCTCCACGCGTCCAAGCCATTGAATTCTTTGTGTCTCCACTGCAAAAATGGATTATTTCCGGTACTCTTGTCATTTACTTGATCCTAGTTCGTTGTCATTAACCACAGTAAATTTTAATTTTCAGTATTTTATTCTCAAATGACGTGCATTTTTTCTCTATTCGGCTATATAAAGTACACACCACACAAATTAGGATCGGTCGAACATTTGTCATTTAAAGGTCGTCGTCGTTCGTGATATAATAATAGTATGTATAGTAGTGAGGTATGTTATCGTATACACGTTAAACATCCTAAAAGGTCTCGATAAACGTACTATGTATTCCGGTTGCGCATTTGCAGATCTTATCCGAATTAGACTCAAGAAGAAACGTAATCGCGTTGATTTTAGAAGTTTAAATAGATTTTAGTTTTACAAAACGTAATCTACTTGTTGGATCAAATGCTCACTGCTCGAAGAAAGTTATAGTCCTAGCGTGTAAAACTAAAACTTACTGGGTACTTACCTAGTAGTCCTACTAGTCGACGTAACGCCACCGCGAGTTTAGATAAAGCCGGGGGGAAATAGACAAATTTAACTAGCCCGTTGCCTGTTGACCCAAACCTGACAACGCTCCAAGGAAGTCGGTGGTCTGAACCTAAAACCCAGGTTCTGGTCGATAAAAAAAACCACGACGAGTGGCGTATTTTCATTATACCGTTCAGGCCGAACTTGGATAAGATCTGTAAATACGCACACCGGTCGTGCGTGTATAGAAATCGATCCGAACGTTTTCGAACGGGATAGAATTGCCCGTTGTAATTCGATGACTTATCGTGTTTCTACGTACGTATTCAGTATCTACGTACAATAAGTATATTATACTATTTAGTAGGTATTAAAAACATCGTGACACGAGAACATAACACTACGCTATAACGAAAACTGAGCGAATCAACACATGTACATCGTAATAATAATATTTAATACGGAGCACACGCAGAGTTAATGTATCCGCTACTAGTGTAATATTATATTATCATCCCGTATAACGATAACCGTGTGTACACGGCAGTGTTGCGAATTAACGAAGGGAAATAAACACGAAACACGCGTACAAAAATGCGTTCACGTAAAGGCCGTAAAGGAACTACTATAGGTGTACGTATTCCGTAAGCGTTAAAGCGATGACACCGATGACACTTGTGATATTATATTTTACAGCGTTTAAGAGGACGCGATATCCGCCATGCATAATACTATGGCCGTCCTACAAACATGCCGGATTTTCGTTCAACGGGGACCACTCTGTTACGCCGATAGTTTTAATATTATCGGGTGAACTGACCCATTATCAGTATTGTAAAAGTAGGAAAATTATCGGTACGACCGTCGTATGTCAGTGTTTTTTCGACATTATTATTTTTAAACGTTGACAATTCAAGTACCTACTTACGTACAATATTGTTTGTGTACGCCGATATTGGATGCGCAGATAATGTTCTTACTTTTAAGTTCGACGATTAGTCGATTCACACTAATGTTAAATCTAACAGACGACCCTGTTGAACGAAAATCCGCTATTATCTGTACGTTTGACGTAAGACGGAAACAGCATGATGCATCATGCGGATATCACGTTCTCTTATAATTACTATACGATAATCACTCGACACGCGCGGCGGCTGTGTATAAAATATATTAAGGAGTCGATGACGAAAAAAAACAAAATAATTTTTTATTAAACCGAATGCGAATGATTTACGACCGCGTACAATATTATAATGGCGCGCTGGATCGGTGACGACGACGACGAGAAAACGTTTAATCCTCGACTATAGAATCATTTTTTTTTTCTTCTTTTGAAAAATGATATTGCCACTTAATATTTTCGAGATAAATGGGGACCAGCACGTTTAAACACACACACACACACAAATACAACGAAAATGTTTATTAATGAACGCAATACGTCAATTGCTGCCCCCGGGAGAACGCGCGCGGCACTAACGAGTCTCGTCCACGACTGAAAGCATAATAAATATCAAGTCTACGAACGTTTTAAATGCTGCACGCGGGGCCGCCGTCTGAAAATTAATTATAAATATATTAGTGTAATTATTATTATATTATATTCAGTGCCCGTCGTCGACGTCGTGAAAGTAGTAAAACACCGCGCGTATGATGCAAATGGGATTTATTAGTACACATCAAATTACGCGTGAATGTATCGTGTATAGAGTGTTGTAGATACAAAAGAGAAAAAAATTTAAAAAATTGTAAAACACATACATTGAAAATCCATGGCATACTTCGCACAGTGCGTAGGCGACCGCTTCAATTGTCGGCGAGAAGCTCCGAGAAGGCGAATACGATTGCGATCGTAAAACGATTCTGGGTAGAGCTCAGTAAACCGATAATTAAGTATTGGCCGAGGTAAACGAGAAACCGATGACGGACAATAAAAAACATTTTTTTAGACACACTTTTCGCATAAAAACTACCGCCGGACGGATATTACGGATCTTATTTTTAATGTATACTGCGTGTAAATTTAGAAGCATTTTTACTAATGGAAAACGTGGCTTCCGAGAAGAAGAAAAACACCCACAGTAAAACAATAATAATATCTTTTCTTCAAAACACCAGAAATCTAAAACAAAAAAATTAATCAATTTCAAAAGTATTATTCTTTTTACAATAATAATAAAACCTGTTTGGCGCGCGCCGTTTATTTATTTGTAAATTCTTCTCCCCTCACCCACATTATCAAGTGAAAACTATAATCGCCCTTAAATCCGAAATTCAAATCCCTTCAAGTTATTTATTTTCTCGCTTTCTCTCTCTCTCTCTTTTTTTTTTTTTCATACTTTCGAGTCGCTCTTAAATTTATCTGAACAATAACGCGTCCGCACCTCGTCCCGTCCCTTCGACAGTGTCCTATAATAGTCGTTTGTTATTTTCTCCATAATACACAGACGGTTTTTATTCCCCCCCCCCTCACCAAATATATAATAATATATCGTACCGTGATGCGTTTCACGTTGAGCGTGTTTTTTTCCCCCTATTCTCTCCGCATGTATAGTGTAGGTAGGTGTGCAGTGTTGTCAAATAGCAACATATAAAATCTTACACGCGTAATCACGTCGTAATTTATCATAAAACGTATCCCGTCGTCCCTTTAAATCGGCCTATTGTTCTTTTTGTACCCTCCTCCATTCTGTCGGTGAATCGTTTGCGATATTCAATATTACTATAACAGTTTCTTCGAGCGTTTGTCGAAAATAATAATTTTTCATTTTTTTTTTCCCTTTTATATACACCGCGTTATTATTAACGACGACGGGCGAAATAATAATGTTTTTTTATTGAATTCCGTCGGTATGTGGGTACCTAATATATTATAATAATATATAGTAAAGACACGAGATTATGTCACTATTTTCGAGCGGCGCGATAATTTATAACGTCGTCTTCGTCGTCGTATTTATTTTTCGTAATTATTCTCGAAATAAAAAAAATAAAAAAAAAAACCTTTTTGTGAGAACTTAATATTTGTTTTGAGATTTACGTTCGACAGGTGTTTATATATTATATAGGTGTAGTATCGGCGTAAACACGTCAAGACAAATATTCAGCTCTCTATAATAATATAATATAGCGGTCATAAATAAATTTATCGTTTGACAGGTTTATTTTTTTTTTTTTTAGCCGTCGTACAGATAATTACCCGGTACACACAATATAGCTGTGTACACGCGGTCCGCCGTCGTTGATAAGAACGTGAAGTAAAAGACCTAACCCATGATGTATACACATAAACGTTCGACGTATATGTGCTCGATGTCTGCATATTATTATTACACGCGCACACACCCGGGGACGGTTCGGAAATATTACATTTTTCACCGTACCTACCTCGTATTATTTTATCAGATGTTTGCTTAAAAAATATTTAGTGCGTGTGTGTCCTCTCGGAATTTCAGATACACCCGTCCGCCGATGGCGACGCCGTCACCGCCGCCGCACAGCGGTCTGTGGATATACGTAGCGGATATACCGGCAAAAATTAATCATTTTCAATCAAGTTAAACGGGCTAAATCAGCGTGCCAAAATACTCAATACAAAAAGTACGATACGTACCTAGTTATAATTATTGATTGATATAAAATCGACGATTTACCTATACTCAACCGCTACATTTCATAACTTGGGACACTCTTTACCGAGCCAATAAGATAATAGTCCGTGGACATGTCGATAATCGCAGACTTGCATAGCGCGTATTATTCTATGTTTAGAGGAAGAGTTTAATATCTTAACCGATACACACCGAGGCTATCGAACGTTTAAGATCGCAGTTACACCTGGTCAACAACCGATTTTTGGTTTGAAAACGGTCACGATAAGTCGATATTTGTTTCCATAGACGTCATCACGGGATAGCGAATCGGGATTGTAAGTTGACAGTAATACGCTACGAGTAAAAATGTATAATTTTCTTGCTTTTTTTTTCATCTAATATAATCACACATACATAATAAATTATCCCGTAGACCGTATTGAATTTGAATTTATAACGATCACTAAATTGATTAGGTATACTTATATATTTATTTGATAAACGACTGCATAGTTTTGACGAACAACGAATTATCAATCCAGCTTTGTCAATTTTAACTGGATAAAAAAATTGGATTTAGCGTTTTCGAAATTAATAGAATAATTTATTTTGTAATTCTTTTTTCTACTCAAATTTAAGATGTATTGTTAATTAATACGTATAAGATAATTTACATTCCAGACCCACTACTGCGCGCCGTCGTACGTATTTATTTGAAGTTTTATGAAATTCTGCAGCGTGTATAAAAGCGATATAATATTTCCGGTTTCGACGTCTACTCAATGATGATGTCTACAAGACGGAGAGTGGCTTGAAAAATATTCTCGCATCGTTATAATACAGCGGTGTGTGTGTGTGTGTGTATGTGTGTTTGTGTGCGTGGCGAATTTACTGGGTGTTGATTGGCCGGTTGAAAGGCTCGATTAAAAGTTTCTGTTTTTATTCGCGAAAATAAAACAGAAATAAATAAAAGAAAATCGGCCGCCGCCGCCGCCGCCGCCAACGATTTATTAAAATCGTCTCGGCCCCCTCGGCCGGGGTGATTTATCGCCTCGAAACGTCTGCCAAGGCTGCTTTCTCTCCGCCCGTCCGTCCGCCGGCCCGTTCGGTTTACACGAGGCGTGTACCGGCTGCAAATTAGCGTCGTGACTTTTATAGCGTCGTTAATTATAGTTAAGTCCGACCTCCTCGGGGCCTCATAACTCAAGAGACGGGCGGCAGTATTATAACGGCACATCGCGGCAAAGACACGCGGGCCGGGACCTTTGCATCGCGCAAATATAAGAAAGAACAAGAAAGAAAAAAAATCCCTTTGATCTATAGCGAATATTAGGCGGAAAAGCTAACCCGATGAGCAAGATTTCCGATAGAAAAAACGTTTACAAACACGACAGATTAAAACAAATGTCGAATACATTGGAGTAAAACCAACACATCAACCCGCAATTCTCATAATCTAAAACAAAATTATTTTACCGTTTTCGTTTCCATGGTGACACGTACATTATAATCTACTCAACTCTGACGGAAATTGAACGTTTTAATATATTGATTCCTGCGACGAAAATATTTTAATATTACACCGAATATTTAGCTAATTAATAATAATATGTGAATGCTGATGGTTACTTTTCTTTTACACTGTTTTCGGGCAGGCAATTACGTGCCACGTGGTATTACCGAGTGTGGTAACATAAAAGAATAAATGGGGTGTGCGTATTATAAAAAACACAAAACAAATCTGTGATAGTAACATAGACTTTATACTAATACATAGACGAGACATAGTGTAGTTCACAGCAGACACGACAGATGGCGTCTCACGGAGAATGAGATGTAATTCATGTACGAACTTAAGCCATAGAATAATATGCGGTATGTATTATTAACGATATACAATATTGTATGCTCTATAGTAGGTGGCACTGCAAATGTCAATATTATCACAATAATTATTGTGTGGAATTATAAAAAGATAATTTTGTTTCCTAATAATAGGCATCCCTGTGACTCTACTTCTTTTAAATGCACTTTTCTAGATTGTACCGCATTCTATTACGGCGTCTGGTCTAGACGTTTCGTTTATTCTTATAAATTATATCAATGAGTTTGCATGGTTTTACTAGAGCAGAGATTGGAAATCGTTAAAACGACCAGAACCGTGTTTATCTCAAGAGTTGTTAAATGTGTATTATTAACGAAAATTATATTTTGATTAAATTATTATATTCGAAAGTTTTCGCCGGTGTCTGGAGAAATCACGATAATATTTTATACCGATCTTGATAATAATGACTTCGGAATTTGCCGCCTCTCGTACTGGTGAATGAATAAACAAAACCGGTGTGAATCAATTTTAATTTAAATATTTTTTTTCTGACTGTAAATAACTTTTCGTACAAAAAATTCCACTGATCGAAAAATGGCTTAAAAAATAATCGGGAAAACCGGAAATTCAATTATATAGGGAAAACGGTAATCGTTTACGGAACACCACAGGCGTTTCCGATTTCATATTGTTTTTTTTTTTTATTTGTACGCACTATGTTTTCTATCAGAAATGTTGCTTTAGTCAAAAAATATCGAACAATTTGTTTTATTGCAATGTAGATCTAGTTGATGACTTACTCATCAGTAAGTAAGTCGTTGATTTTTCATAATAATTATGAAAAATCGGGAAAAACCGTAAAATTTACGAAATTTATTATTTTTAATATTGTTTTTTGTTGTGATTTAGCTAAAAATATTCGTAGGAAGTTGACATTTTGAGAGAAAATTTATATTGGTATTTTCTAGGCATAGTAAAATATTCATAATATTCTAAAAAAGGTTTTTGAGCTATGTGGATAAAATTGTTAAACCAAACAGAAATGATTGAGAATTTATTTAGGAGGTCTATTAAAAATCGTAATTATTACGGCCCTTTTAATCACGTATAAACGAACTTCGCTCAGAATCGTTTTTCGTTAATAATGGTTTACCGTCGCTTACAGATATAAATTAAATAACTTTATGGGTCCTGCCTTCCCGACTTTCCACCTACAACAATGGTTCATCCATCAGCCGTATTAATTCATTTTTATTTTTTTGGTTTATCGTCGGTAAAAAACACGCTGCACAGAAACCGACCACCGTGCGACGGCGATGAAATGTGTTCGCCGACGACACACGGACACCGACACCGCGCACAGCCTCGACGTTCTCCGCGGTCGTCGTATACAAATCGGTTAAATCGCTCGTATATTATTTTTAGAATCGCCTCCTCCCTTTTATTTTTTTCGCCGCATTTTATAGCGTGACTCGGCCAGACTCTTCCGAATGATTTACGAACACGGCGGCGGCGGCGGACGTTTATTATTTTATTTGTTTTGTCGACGCGTGGTATACACGACGATGTGACTTTTTGTCCCGCGATCTGAAAATTAAGTCGCCGTTTTACGCGTGTTTAACACTAAATCAGACCGAAGACTTAACAACCAACACTCGCGCACACGTGTAAATTATAATATACGCATATAAAAAAAATGTCATTATCCAAGCCGAGCCGTTAGTCATTCGCACGCGCTCTCGGTTTTCTGTTTGATCTGCTTCTTCACCACTAAATTACTATTATAATAAACGACGACGGCGGCGATTGTAAAACCCGTAATTTTGGAGTAGTGCCGCCCCGTTGAAATCGCTCGTAATAATAATTGCGTGCAACTGCGAACGGATTTGCGTAAAACGTACCGCGAGAAAAATGTCGCCACACGGGGAAAATATCCGTATTATCATAATGTATTGAAGGTAGAGAGGACTGGAGACGGACACATTTTTAACGGGCCCGAAGTGTTTCTGCCGAGGTGGACTGCACGTCCACTGCTACCTAGCGATTGAATAAATAGACATTAGATAGGTATTAAATACTAATAAACCACAATACTTAAGAGTAAACTGATTCCTCAACAATTAGAAATTTAAATTATATACTTTAATTTGTTTTAACTAAGTACCCCGATAGGCTTAATTTAATATTTATATTTTTAAAAAAAAAATAAAAAATAGTTAATGTTTTACCAAGTAGATAGCGTTACATGTTCACTATGTGTACTAACCAGGTAGAGTGCCTCGGCATCTTCAGCTAGTATCAAGGCACTTGTAACCTAGCTCCCTGTCACCCACTCATCATATCGTTTCTAGTCCTCTCTATGTTTAATCTATGATTAAAATTCCGTACTTTTTTTTCGGTTATTTAGATAGCAGACAATTTTCATTTAGCTTTAACTGCATTTAAATTGATACAGTTTTTCAACGAGTTGGACCTTTCTTTCTCTCTCCACTGGTATTTTTCGTAAAAGTTAAAAAAATAAGACATTAAAATGTATTTTTGACAAATTTCTTTGTCCTGCAAAGAGATTGCCTAGGTAATCTCTTTGTCCTGCAAAGAGATTGCCTAGGTAATACTGTATATTAATTTAGAAGCTACTATAACACTGATAAACAACACTACTTACCGCTAAACCGCTTTCCGTATAATGAATGATTACCATGCTGACGAACGTTTATTGGTAACTGTTTTGCATAATTTCGTTCGATACTGCAAAGCACGGGTGAAGTCGCGTGGGATCAGCTAGTTTCGGATAAATCTTTAGTCGTTATCTTAATATTTTATCTATAGATAACAAAATTAGTTATCATTTCGAATACGGGTCGTAACCATGTCGTTACAAGCCTTACATTGGAACTCTACTTTCAAAATGTTTCCCGGGCAATTGATTTATATGGAAGACGATATTTTCCGGACCGGCGCGCCAGATTTGACACAGTGCGATTATTTTTTTCTGTGGGCATATGTAAAATTTGATAATTATCATCTAAAGAGACTTTGCAAACTTCGAATAAACCAATATTTACATACAATTAGGAATTCGCCGCGTGTCCCACGAAATACTTGACAGAGTTTTGCGAAACCCGGAGCAATGATGTTTTTTTGACAATAACGAAGACCGCATGACCGATATTTTCTTTAAAAAACTAAATAAATCAAAAACGTCCATTATACTGTAAACTACACGGGTAGCATAGAATCGAAATATAATATGTAGCTCGAGCAATTATTATTATTATTCACTTTCTAAACTATTGCGGACGATGTTTCGTCGCACCCTGTATTATATAATATTATTCAGAGTCGTCCAAAAATACACCCGAAACTCGCACGTCACTTAGCTATAAGTCGTTCAATTTTCGTTCAGGACGTCGGCTGATTATACCTACGCGTTTTGACGGTTCGAGAATATTTTCAGTTAACGACTTTGTTGGTGGCGTAAAATATATTCGAGATATGACACTCCGGTGGCAAACGACCAAAAGATGTTCGAAAACGTTTATATATCATTATTATTATTATTATTGTTGTTGTTGTTGTGTACGACGTCAGTTCACTACTTAACTGCTGCGCGCAGCACCTGCAAACGACATTGAAAATAACAAGATAGATATATCGAAACCGTTTATCTATGTAAGCGTGTACCGCGTGACATTATTATAATATAATATATAAAACGTCATTTTTTGCGGTCGACATTTTCTCCTATACATATATTGTATATCTAAATATTTCCTTCTCTGTATATGTATTGTGAAAAGTCTTTACCGGTAAACGGGTTACATGGACGGTTTACATTTTTTTTTTTTTTTCTTTTTTCGACGTCCGGCGAACTTGCGATACAAAACTACATTATGTTTCAAGGTTTTGTCGGGGCATAAAAACCGTCGTATTCGGGACACGTCACGTTATCGGACAACAACGTACAGTGTCCGCGAATCTATCGGTCCTCCGAGTGTCGGTCGTCCGACCGACCGTATTATTACTATATATTATAGTAAAATAGAAATACTATTTTGATTACATTTGCATTTTCTCCCATTGGCTTTGATTCTACACGCAGACTACTATCTTAGCTACGAAATACACAGAAAATGTAAGCTTTATTTCATATTTTCAGTAATAAATGCATTTTTTTACAACGCCGCTTTTAGATTCTGAGTGCACCAAAGAAGCTATAATTAGTTTTACTAATACGAGCGTTTTTTCGGTAAGTAAAAATCGCAGTTATATATTAGGGCTATTACCAAACTTCAAACTATTATCATAGTTTGAAACTTCAAACCTCGCAAATCTAAAATTTGTTCTAATACATATAAAAATAAGGTATATACAGTTTCATTACGATTAGTTAACCTTAATACGTGCCCAAAAAAGGTTGAATATTTGAATTTGGGGGTAGTTTTACAATTTGTTGTATTTATCTATTATTGTATTCTACATGCGTTAAAAGTACAAAGAACATTAATTATTAATAATTTCAGTTCCTATACAAACCGCGTTTTTACGAAATTCATTAGTAATTTCTTAAAATAACGTGTGCTGTACCAAACTATTATTGTGCTGTGAATTTAATGTTTGTTTATTTATTTATTTAATGTCAATTTATTCACTTGTACCTCCTACTAAGAGTTTAGGGTATTTTTTAAAGGCAATAAGACTCTCCAGACTTTAAAAATAAAGGACCAACATCCTAAATCTCTAATACTCTCCTTTGATAATGTAATAAATAATCGAGTGTCAAAATATTCAGAACTAAAATAAAACCGTCACGACTACTCAAGTTTGGTTTTTCGAGACGATAAGATGTTATATTAACTTATTTTTATCACCCATTGATGCAAATTTTGTTACATTGATGTTTATCCGTCGAATGCGCTGTCTGTAGACCGAACTTAAATATTATATTTTATATTACACGTCGTGTCAATCCTATGAATTCCGAGCTATACATCTTTAGTCCCAGGCAAGAAGGCCTTATGTCAATTTCCAATAGTTTTGGATACAGGTAAATTCGATTTTGAATATTGCTTTATAGCTATATAATAAATATGACATCCCTCTTTTAGTATGAAATAAAAAATATATCATAGTGACTCCAGTTATTTTATATTCAGTATAACATAACGTCACTAGACGTCAGTAAAGACACTTAGTTTAAACAAAAAATTAAAGGGAAAAAATTATATAGAACAAAATAATAAAAAAAATTCCTAAAATTGACTTAAATTCTTCTTCCTTGGGATCAAAAATATAAAACACCGAGATGGACTTATCTGTGTGTATAATTAATTCTACACCTGATCTACGGAATGTATATTATCGTGCCATTGTATCGACTGAACAAGTCTATACATTTGGAAACGATAATTTATTATAATAAATAAAGTTCATTGCATTGAAAAAGAAACCCAATATTAATAAAATGTCTTTTAGAGTGTTAATTTGGAACAGAATGCACTGAGAGTGACCGTGTTCTAATGAAATATGATAATGACAACGCGAATGACAAGTTAATACATTTTGAATGACCCACTACTTGGTCGTTTGCTGCAATCGTCAATTTATGACTAAAAAAATAAAACAGGTATTTAATTCAATTTATATTCATTCCATGTTCGTATTATTCCCACCAATATCACCCTGTATGAAATGCGCAATATCTATTAGACGATTTATTTTTATAATTTATGTCGATGTTTTTTTTTCTTTATGGTAAGTACTTGCGACCATATCATTCGGAAATTGGGTACTTAAAAATGGAAATTTCGTTAATGTAGGTATTTTAATGATATTTTAACAGGCGACGTGTGTGGTTTTTTTACAATTCTATAAATATCGTTGTATAGATCAGACAGGTTAAATCCGTTATGGCGAAAAACCAGCTGTCGAGAGAAAAAAATAAATAGGTAATAAAAAAAACCATAGTCTAACCCTCACGAAAATATTGATTGTTATATTATTATTACTTCTCCGGGCAAACAGTAGTATATTTCCGCGACGATATAAACGCAATTTAATATTACTCTGCACGTAAAGTGTACTCGGCGTTTTATACTACAACTGCTGCCGCCTCCATAAGATCGTAAAAAAACCATGTCTGGTGGTTCAACATATATCCGTTTAATACACATTATACTTGGTAGGCGGGAGCAGTAGACGTTAAGACTGGACTTGACCCGAGTCCGACTTGGTATACCTATATAAAATGTTAAATCCGATACACCAAATCCGTATGTTTGAGACCTGACAATACATGTATAATAATATCATTAGTACCACTAGCCTCAGTTGAAGTTTTTCGATTGCCAAGTTGATTGAAGATACACGCGAGATTATTTCCTTATACGCACTGTTTTTTTATTGCTATACATTATCCAAAGATCAAATTTATAAAAAATCACTGAAATAACAATTTTGCAGAATCATAAAGAAAACTGTTCGTTTCACTAAAATACGAGTAAGATATGTTTTCTTCGGTCTATACAAATGATCAGATTTTATACGTTAAAAAATATTGATTTTTGCTTGACGGTTAGGTTTATTTCAACATTTTTCAAAATTCTCAATATTTTATTTAAAAATTTTTACTTTTTTATTTGTTTTATTTTTTTTTATTATTATTTTACATACATATTTTAGGCGAGTGATAAAATCCTCAGAGTTTTTCACGCGGTAGCTTATTTAATTATGCAGAATTTGCGCTCAGTAATATTTTAATTAAAGTTACCAATAATTCATCTCTGTAGTTTTTGAATTTATTTTCTATAGGACTACACCTTTTCTGTTAGATATTAAAAATGAACCAAATTATTCGCACGGTAATTAAAAAGATACGGATTTTTCAACTGATGGTAAATTATATTCGAATAAAATGTCTAGATAACCCCAACAGTTTTTCAGAGCTCAAATTTTTTCCTGAAGAATTAAAGTAATTTGAAGTCATTTGAAGTCATTTAAGGTTTAGGCACTATTAACAGTCTTCGATTCGAGCTTTTCGCGATACACGAAATATTATAATAATCATTTTGTGTTGTTCACGATGCATTCCGGTTTTCGACGGTGGTATATGAAACAACATAAATTATACGCTCTGATAATATAATATAACATTGATAAACGGTTTATTTTGAGGCCGAGAGCCTCTTTAATAATTTATTGGTATACAAGACGAATGGAAAGCGAACGCGACAAAACGCCGATCGGTCGAATCGCAATATTTTGTATTTTTACCCGACACTCGACAGATTGAAAAAAAAAAAAAAAAAACCTCAATTATTATCAAGTACTTCGCGTTCCCGGAATCGTGACTCGTAAATTGACGGCCGGGTATAATATTGCAATATCTGCACGCGCGGCCCCGTTGGGCATACCTACACCGGAACACCGTGCGAAGATTATTAAACTCACTATGTATATATAATGTTATTATCGCGTTTATAAACATAATAATAATGTTCGGGTTCGTGGTTTTTCAATAAACGCACGCCGACATTGTGTCGACGATAATTTATGATGTGATCGCCCGTAAAACCCGCACCGTCCAAGCCGTCGCAGAATATTTCGTTTTGGCGAATTCTTATATGGAAACCATAGCCGACTGCAATTTAGTTAGGTGTACGGAACGAACGTGGCACCGGTGTAGGTTAGGTTATCGATAAAACGAACATTTTACACGGATTTATGTTTCTAGCATCTATGTAACACCTTTAACATGTATAGGTGCGCCAAGTGGATAGGGCCGCTGGGGGTGTCTTAAAACAATCCGACACCAAAATAGTAAAACTGCCTATCGTTTCTTGTTTTCAATGTACGAATTAGTTTTACTATGATGTGTGGTTTTTTTATGTATATATTTTAACTACTTTTCAGCCAGAAATCTTGCTACAATCGAAAACTTTATAGAAACTTTCTTGAATCTATAAGGCGATTTTATTATTTATTTGGTAGTTTTCTTAATAAATTGTAAAACTGGTAATTTGTTTTGTAATTTTGATTATTGAATTCTAGGTTGCTTTGGCAACAAGGGAATAAATTTGACTCTTAAAAATTGTTAAGAATCGTTTTTTGATAGCAACAGTTTATGGTTGTGTATAAATGTAAATTAAAGTTAGCCTTAAAGAAAATATCTCTCTTCAAACTTCCCTCCTAAAACAGTAATACGATCATCAGCGATATTAGCCTTATTCTGTTTTCAACATAAAATAATTTATGCGCACAACAGTTAGACAAGACAAGCCAAAAACACACTAGTACCGAAACAAGTTCATAATAATGCTCATTGTCCAATTATTATTAAAGAAAATATTGATACTTCAGACAGTAACACTGATGACTGATAGCGTTTACAACAAATTTGAATTTATTTTGTTTATGTGTTATCAAAGTGCTTAATAAGCGATAATATGCATATCTCGTTTTAAGAGAACATAAATCCGGACTATACTGACAAAGTGCTAACCAAAAATACGTTATATTTACAATTTAAATTATCTTATAAAATGTACCAATTAAATATAAACACAATTGTTTTAAATTCTCAGCGTGTATCGAAGAAACTATTCATTTTGTTAAGACTTTTTTTTTTTTTTTCGTAAAAAATTGTTTATTTTGATAAACAATTTTCGATTTTCCTCATAACGATACCGAAAAATATACGGATTCACTGATGACATTTTTTTCAAAAACATTTTTAACACTTTTTGCTAAAACTTCGAAAACAGGGCCGTGATTTCGCTACGAATTTTCTATAGTAATAAAAAGAGACGATGCCAACTTGACGGACATTATTTTTCTTTTACTATGATATCAGATTACCAACAAATGTATGAACGGTTGTTTACGTTACGCGGTTCGGGGCTGAGCGACGGAAGTGTTTTCGTGTATATTATTGTGTTATCATCGCACCACCGTGCCAATCGTCCGCGCGATTTTACACACGGCCGTCACGTCCTGTCAACGGCGATCCGATTGATGTTATATTTTGTTTATTTTTGTTGCCGCACAAATAACATAAAATAGACGAGCGCCGCCGAAAAGCATTTTTATAGTCGAGCCAATAATTATATTACGAGACCGGGCTCTGACGAAAACCCAAACAGTCGCCGTCGATGTTTCCGGCCGTGTTGGTTTTGGAATGAAGTTCCGTCAGTGAACATACAGTTTTGTAACGAAAAAGACCGCCGCGTTAAATAATAACAAATACACTGACGACGAAATTATAGGAGAGGACATGATGGGTAAAGAAAAACGCCCGCGGTAAAATAATATTGTCGTGTTAAACCGTACGTGGCGATTGTGACTTGTGGGTTTAGGACTAATATTTTTTCAATCGGCTCTATTTACAATTATCGCAAACCAAAAACAATAGATTCGGCCTTTGCAGTGTGCCAAAAAACCTCAAACCCGTACGCCGAAAGACTGACGACCGTCGTGAAAGACAACAGCTAGTGTCGATATTATTATCATTTATAGTACATCGTCGTAGGGTTAGGTTAGGTTAGATGAAATTTGGTGAAAAGGATGAAATTTCGCCTCGTTAATGTTTACGAATAACAAAGTTCAGTTTTCTATGTTTTATACGTACGGAGAGAATAATTTTTCAGGTTCTGTATACAGTTAGTGAACGGCGGATGAACATTAAAGATACTGGTTAAGGTTGTTGATTTTTTTTTCTCCCAAAACACTTTTTCGATATGTAAAAATTCTCCCAAACACGTCGTAACTTAGAAAATTCACATTTTGCGGTTTATTGTTATTTATTTAAACGATCTCCGACGGTATTGAAAAAAAAAAAAAATTAAAATAATATATTTAGGGTTACTAATAGCTCCTTCGCTGTACCCTCGGAATCTTTATTATGTAGTCGTCAATAATAATACTGCTGGGCTTGCGTGAACGGAGAGTTCGGATCATATAACTTTTTATGACTGAAATCATTTTAAAAACGATTCTTTTATACACACATTGGACGGATAAAAATGATAATGCATAATATACGTATACAGGGTGATCAGTTTATCATAAGCCAACGATTTTCTTGAAGGATTTTAAGTGTTTTTAAAAATAATTATGAAATCGTTAAGGTTTTATTTTAATAATATTTTTAATTTATTACAACTACCCCTTGTGTTTAAAATGAGTATAGAACAACAGTACGTGTTATAACAGTTTAAAGTTTAGACCGAAGGAGTAGGGAAGGCGTAGGAATTTATTATCTAAAAATAGATAATAGAGAAATGTTTAATTCTTCTCTACTTCTCTGGTATGAATTTAACAGTTATAATTAATATAAACGGTAAATCTGTCACAAACGGTAAATCTGATAATAATGTTGTGTCTATCAAAATTTGTATAAAAATGTCCTCTATATTTAAAACTGTGTTTAAACTGAGTTGTTAATTTAAAATCTAAAGTGTATCAGGTTTATGGAGTAGAGGTAAAAAATTCAAAACAGTTAATTTTAAAATAACAATTAAACGGTTCAATAATAATTAGTAAAAAAAAAAAAAAAACAGAAATCAAATTAACTTAAAATCATTCGAGAAAATGTCTGGTGGTTCATGATAAATAAACACACTGTATTTATTGTGTAGAACGTTCAACTGGGCGGCTGATAATAACATACGCCCGGTCACCGCCAAACAATGTTTATCGTCGAATTCTCTGCTGTTTACTACGGTGTAAAACACACACGTTAATTTACGCGTTTTGTTCGTAAACAAAACGTCAGCAACCGGCGATTTTCGTGGGTTTATATTATTCCGGTCAGTCTTATCGAAAACATCTGAAATATAATATTATATGTGCTACCATCATCGGGTAACCGTCGGAACGGTCGAATTATTGCACTACTCGCCTAAATTAAACGGTCGGACCGCACTCTGGTGAAAGACAAGTCGAAGAAGATTCGAGGAAAAAATTTTCGAAAACATTTGTTTTCCACATACAGGCGTATAGGAATAACAGTTATTTCAATCATTTGCACGGTTAAAAATAAGTTTTTTTATGGGATACGGGAAATTATTAATGTTTTCAAACCGTTGGAAGTTTGGTTGTCAATCATTTTTTTTTCGTTGAAATACCTTTCTTGACCCGAGTGCAATTCGACCGTTACCTTTTCTTTTCTTCTTTTTTCTAACCAGAATGCAATTCGACCCGTTTAGCCGTAGCCGTCACCCAAAAACGTTCTCGGGGTGGAATTTATAATCGTGGGTAGTAAATAAAGACGCGAGCACCGCCGCCGTACACAATAATAGATACGCGTTTTTATGCGACGTTATTTATAACAATGCCGACAAGAAAAAAAAAATCAACAAACGTCTCCCGCCGAGTGTTTAAACGCGCTCAGCTCTTTCCGAGCGTCGTCGTGTACGCGCGTCGCCCGTAAAAACGACTAAAAATAAACACGTGCCGCTCTCTGGGGTTATACTCTCGGCGGAGGCGACGGGCCCGGGGAGATTAGATATAATACACCGTTATGTGCTCGCATTACGATAATAATAATAAATTACAGTCGTGCGTGTGTGTCAGGAACACAATATAATATTGACGATTCATTATATTGATGTCGTGGTCTTAAAAAACGGAGTGCCGCAGACGAATTCCGGTGATTCTCGACAAACACGTAAAATATACGTTTACGTAAGTTTTAGTAGGTTTATAGCTAATATACGCATCGTGTTGACAGTCGACCCGTAAAAATATGGCGCGATGAATTTTTTCGAGGACGCGTGGTGTCAATATACGTACACGGGGGCTTGAGCGCCCGTCGAAATAGCGCGTTTAGAGCGCAAAGCACTCGTTAGACATCGAAAATAATACGGATATATAAATGCACAGTGTATAAACTAAACATATTTAATCATGAAGTGCTTTGGAAAATTCGGCATAATATTGTGATAAGATCGTAAATCGATAAGGTACATTTTCAATGTTTGTCGACTGTCGTTACCACTGCGGCCTTCGCCTGTTCTGCGGTTGTAGTTACTTACAGCGGCGCAACTAGAATTTTCGAGCACCGATGAACATTTAAGTCTGGTGCCTTAAATTTAATACCCACGCGATTTATAGTAATTTTATGTCTAAGAGAGATTGATCTTTTCATAACCTGGCACCTATAATGATATTGCGTGATAAAAACGCCAACGCCATTTCACGTGAAACAAACGATAAAGGCATTTTAAGGCGGTTTCAGAGTTGCGGTGAATTAACAGAAGACGGCTATAATTACGAGACAATAACCTCAATGTAGGTTTTGGGAAATCATTTTGAAAATCTCGGACGTGGATAGCACCACGGGTAACCAAATGCTGTAGGAAGTATATTAGGATATAGGATAGGTTGAATAGGATTAGCTTATAATTATAATACGTAATAGTCTATTATTATGCTAAGTCTGGAAGGACCGAAAAATCATTGTAATCTAAAAACGACATGACATGATTAAGTACATAACTTGTAATGACGATGCTGGACTAGCTATAAAAATGACCTGTTAATATTGATTTGCTACTTATTTCAATATATTTTTCGTTTTTACCGACAAACTTTCGTAAAAATTGTCTACAAAACGGAATCCCTTTGTCGTTCTAATAATGATATATGTGTCGGACGTCACGTTCCTACAATAGTTCTTCAAAACTTTGATAAAAACACAATAAAAATAATTTTAACCACGACCATAACTTTTTTCGTATCCAACGTAAAACCGCGAAATACCCGTCGGACGGTCGTTTCTTACGTATAATCGTGTGATGGACGCGCGCATTACCTATACCGACTGCAACGGGACACGACACTCGCCGCCAAACTTTTCTTCGATTATTATTTCCTCGCCAAAAACAAAAGTCCGCCTTTCCATTACATTATTGTATAGTGTACACTGTCACTTTGCGTTAGGAGGACCCTATCTCGTTTCGAGTCCCGTCTCCCTTCGGACGCCGCTGTGCCCGTCCCCGACGACGTCATATCATATTTTATTTTCGTCGCCGTTGTCACGTTCAATTTTCAACTCGTGCACCGCCGTGCCCTCTCCTCCTCTGTCCAGCGCCACACACATTATATATACTTACTATACCGATTTCCACGGACGTATGTTTTCCGTTCGTTCGTCTTTATCAATCGGTCGCCGGCTTTACTAATAATCCCCCGACACGTCCGACGGTGCGAGAAGGGCTCGTCCGTCTGTCAAAACGAAACATTAATCCGTTCGCACCGAATAAAATAAAAGTCGATTTCTTTTCCCCGCGGTAATTCATCCATGCGTAACACCGCCAGTGACATTTTCGACGAGAAAGGACACAAGTTAATTTTCGTCATTTTTTCCCTCCCTGCGTTAATTTTGCGTGACGTTTTATACACGATCGAATGTGTTCGCCCATTGGTATTCATGCACACACTTTTGCAGTTGTCAGTTGTCACAAATCCCAAGCAGTTTATTATCGTTTGGTCATCACAAGTCAAAAACAGTAGTTTTTAATAAACGAACTGTCGAACGCGTATGCGAAAAGGCTCAATAAGTCATACTTTTCTTTTAAATAAAACGAGCAGTAAGACACAATCAATTATGTAAAAAATGGCCCAAGTAATAGATACCTACTTAAATTTTTATTTCTAGAGCAGTAGGGCAAATGTTATCTTAATTCGGTAATCTATAACAGTGTCATTAAAATAATTATGGAAAGTTAAAAAAACGTGTAAACTAATAAATAAAACAAGTGTTTCAAAAAAAAAAACAAAACAAAAAATTGATATGTTTTTTGTGTCTCTTGGAAAGTGGTCAAAAGTGGACATATTCTAACGATAACTTTCCAAATATTATCTAAAAAATGTTTGTAACAATGACACCTACACAAAAAAGTATATAGAGAATGATTAAAATTATTTCCGATATTTATTTATTGAATATTTCACGCCCGCGGTTGGGGCAAGAGTACTATATAACAGTATACATACTATTTGCGTACAAACAGATAAATTAAATACAAAATCACATTAAGGGCGCATTGTTTTAATTTAAAGAAACTATAATTTTTTTAAAACGTGTCAGGATTTCAAGATCCGATAAGGGGCTACTTGGATATTAATAACTAAGATATTAATTTTATTATAATAATAACTATAATATGTCATGGTGATAATAATAAATAGACTGGCAGTTAAAATAACCGTTGAGACCAACGTGCAACGGCCCGAGCCAATGAATTAGGCAACCGGGATTTTTGCTGACGTCCCTAAGCGAAAGTCGTTTCCGACAACTTTTTTTTCTTCGTTTTCACGTCGATTTTCCGGGATGACGGGTAACATATTGCAGCGGGTATTGTTTTAAAAAGTGATCTAAACGTTTCGCAAAACGACACGGTCGGGATATAATTTCGAGTAACGACAAATCACCAATATTTTACTGTTGTTACGTATATATATAGAATGTACTATTAAACGGTCGAAGTTAAACTATTGGCGAAAACAATATCGCGAAACGTAGGCGCATTTAAACTTTTAGACCCGACAATAACGTGTAATAACATTTTCTACTGCAATAACGACGTTGCGGACTAAGAAACAAATTATACGACTCCGTGCTAAACTTATAAACTATACTAAATGTCTACATCATATTAAACAATACGACAGACGAAATAATCGCAAATTTTTAATACTTTTGATATTTTTTCCATTCAAACCCAAATCCACGATAACACCGATTAATAAAAGTGTTCAAATGATTGCGTTCCTTATTATATAGTTCACTTTCGTCGGCTCTCCGAACGCGGCAAAATTTGGTCTGTTATTACACCGATTCTGCAGCAGGTCCAAAAACAACAAAATAAAATAACTGCGAACCGCAGATCTCCGTCACTAGTGTCGAATTTCTCTCCAGCGGATTCGTCAACCGTTACAATATTGAATTTTTTTTTATATATATAAATATAATATAATTATTTAAAATAACTATAGTTACCGGAATCGTATTACATTTTAGTCTGTAGAATTATTTAAAACCAGATATATCTTATTAAAACGTGAAATTTGAAGGTCGGAGAGAAAAGATTGAAAGTTAAAACCCCCCAAATCACGTTCTTAATACTTGCAACATGCATATACAAAATTACATTAACCTGGCTTCATTTAGGGAGGTTTGGAGGGATATACGAGATTAAAAAATATTCTCCTCTCGCAATAAGATGGTGAAATTCATTCAAAATTGTATCAAAATTCGATTGCAAGACGTTGGAACTTAATCGCGCAAAATATAGCGGACGTTGAGTGGAGAGCGACCTGCAGCAATACTGATGTATAAGAAAGATTTAAGATTCACCGGTCACAAAAATCATACAGAACAGATAAACGCTCGACAAACGTTTAATGATTCAAAAAATGAGTATGCGATTTTCATACGAATTACTCCATTGCATAAAAACACGTTATTAAGTATATGGTTTATCGAAATTAATAATGATATTATAGCCGTCTGAGTGTGTCCGGCTGTCTGTCGTACTCGGTCTCTACATTATCATCATATACTTATATATAATATATTTTAGACGACAATTTACTGCACCGGCGACCGTTTTGCATATTTATTATAAGTGCATCACAATAATAATATATCCCGGCGGGTGTTCGTATAATATTTTATTACGAACACGTTGTCGTGTATACAAGAACAACCGGTATGTATTTATTTATTTTTTTTTTTTTTCCATAGGTACGTAAATGTCGTATTACAAACAGATGACAGTATATTAGTAAAGTAGGTACTGTATTATTATAGTTTCGGGTACAGCGTCGAAAATTCGAAAACCATATGGTGAAAACCGCCGTCGTCTCGCGCGCGTCGACGGTAAAATAATATATAAATTTAAATACTCGGCTCGTATGCTTAGTATAAAGAGATTGTTTACATTTTTTTTTTCTCCCCGGAGTTACTATAATAACACGTTATTCACGCGCGTCGAACACCGCCACTCCGAGAATATTCTCTCGCCCGGTACACCCTGTATATTATTATATAATAATGCTATACAGTAACCCGGCAACGTCGTTATATGTAAAAAAAAAAAAAAAAAATCGTCGCGGTATGACGGCGTACCTATAACGTTATTTATGACAGTATAATTGACGCGAAGAATAACACGGTTTTTCATTTCTTTTCTCAATCGGCCGATATAATGACATTACACAACAATGACGTCCACACACGCAAGTCTAACCCCACGCGGTGGCACGAAATGACATCACTTTTTCCTTAGCTGTCGCAGGCCGTGCGGGATCTTTGCCGGTTCTACACCGAACTCGTCCGTAGGTCTGCTCTGTTTTCTGCATTTTAGATTCTAAATGAGTTTATTTTTTTTATATTTCGTATCTGTGCGCAACTTTTCTACCGGAAAACTTAATCGAATTTCTACGCGTAGCACCTTTTCTGAAAGAAAATCGACGAGAGGCGCTGATTTTCTCAAGAGTTTCTTCGTCAAATTTGAAAAACCGATAAAAAAAAAAAAACGAGGAAATATACGAGAGGTAGGCATTAGTTAAAAAATATGTCGGCCTTTTTTTCCGGTAAACAACTTTTCTACAAGCAATTTGACTTCGATTTACAATGATAATACTTTTTCTGAATGGAAATCTAGGAGAAGAATGGAGCACTTAAGAACGCCGTGCGCCGTGGCGTCACAAAAATTATACTCCAATACTCTCCTCTACCTAAACTTAAGAGAATATCTCGCTAACTGGTTAACAGAAATCAAAAATGTCACTTTTATTTTCTCGGTTTTCAGAGCGAAATTCAAAAACAATTCAGAACAAAACACCGCACCATAATTAAGTGTTCATTCGCAAATCAATTTTGCGACACTTCAATTTCATTTATATGTACTGCATATTAATAATCTGATGACATTTTAAATAGGTACCTACGTTATATCATTAAAAATATTACCTGGAGTCTTGTCCGTCATAGGTGAAGTTTTGTGAATCGGTCGAAGATACACGTAAATTATATTGACTTATATTAATAATTTGTCTAATCTAACGAATAAAATTAGTAAAACTTGAGGAAAAATAAAAGTTATTAAGATCGAAAACACATTAGACAAGGACCGGTCGCATGCATCATTTTTCATCAAAACAAAATAATAATTACAATTATTGAGATAACAAAGTAACACAGATACTGTTGATAAAAGACAACGGTGTCGTCACCATAGAGATTATTAATGTACGACCACAGATATAAATAATAAACTAGATACATCCAGGATTTATTTTTTCCTGGTTGGCTCCTTCAATAAGAAATCCTTAGTAGAGTACTTATATCGGTGCTTGAATTAAAAAGGACACAAAGGCGCCTCTATTATTTTTATTTTTTTTTGGTTTAGCGTCCCCTTACAAATTATTTCTACTGGTACGGAGATTAAATAATTATATTTTCAACAAATATTTTTTGTCCTATCATCAACTCAAATAATTTATATAATTTTTTAAATTCTGTGTGGAGCTAAGAAGCCTATGGTTTTACAATGATGTTTATTTTTTTACTAGAATTTTTTTCCAGTTTACAAAAAACTTTTTCTAAAAAGAAATCTAACTGTGAAGGTACTTTAGGGAGGTCAGTTTTCGATTTTCTTAAGAGTTTCTCAGCAAATGTGAAAAACTGGGAAAAAACATGACTATCAATTAAACTCTACTCAGATTCGTTTTTTCGTTAGCAATGATTAATCGTTGCTTACAGATATACATTAAACTCCTGTCTATATTCTACCTTCCCAACTTCCCATTTAAAACAGTTTCACACCCTTCCCATTATCCTAGGACAATTTTTTTATTCTTTTTGTTTCATTTTCCCGGATTTAAATCTCTTTTTACTCGATCCAGCCATCGTCACGATCTTCCACTGGGACGTGTTTTGTTCGGATTAGCAACCAGGCCCAGATTAATACTAGTGCAGACGGTGCACGTGGACTTGGCCCTCCATGTCCCCATTTTTTTTTTAATATTAAAGAATTCATATTTCTATGAGATAAAACTAAGTTACACAAAAGAAATATAATTCTCAGGTTGAGGAACACTGTTTTAGAGAACGATATATACGATTTAAAACTTTTACGTAAACAGAATCATAAACGTACCCTCGGCAAAATGTCTTTGGCAGTTTGGCGTTAAAATGCGATTTGCTCGACTTTTTTCAAACTTCATAATGGTATAAAATATTATGTACGGGTCGTCGACAACGTGGGGCTTTTTAGTCGTTGTTATATTATAATAATATATCTCTCTTTTACAAATCCTCTTCAAAACGAATACATCACGTGATATTATACGGCGCCGGCCGTGTGTCAGTATAATAACCAGCACACAACACGTCGCATTAAGAAAATAAAAACGTATAAAAAGAATAAAGACGTTCAAATCGAAATTTAACGACCGTGTTAGTGTTCCCTCTAGGACTCGCTGTAGATTCAATTGCGTATGCAATATTTATTATTATTGTTATGGATATTATTACAAAATAATATTAAACCGAGTTCCCGTGACTCGTGTCTTCACAATTCGCGGATACTCGCTATCAGTGGGATGGCGATGAGGTTTTCAATACGTCTAAAAGCGTCATGATTGGAATATCATTGTAGACAGGTAAAAAAAAAAAAAAACGTCAGCAATAGATATTTGATATTTGTATTTTAGTAAACTATCAAGTAGTCTTGTAGACAAAAGTGTTGAAGATTTTCCACTAGACGGTCCTTAGATTTCTATTATTAACCAATAAACCAAAAATACCTAAATCTCAAATGTCAAATTTAAACCTAATTCGGTGCCCAATCTTTTACCACTATAGGTGCATGGTGTGTATAATGATGGTTGAGGATTAGACTTGGACACTTTTCTACGATTGACTTAAAAATATATGTTTAAGCGAATAACAGCGAAACAGCTTACAAGGGAGTAGATATTTTATGAAGGGGCTGCGGAGGGTACTGAAATATATATTGCGGTTACAACAATAAATGTTGTATATTGTTCATAAATGTCCGTAACTTCTCGCTATAAGCTTTGGTACAGTGTTTAGTGTGCATAATAAACGAATATTCGGTATTCGATATTCGACACTTTCCCGCGGATTGTCGGTAAAGTTGACACGAGTCAAAGAAAATGTCTGCACCAGAATAGATGTTCGTCGGTTCATTCCCACGACGCGATAATTATTTGCCCTTTGGCTATCTGAGATTCTTATCTCTCGGCAAGACCAGACCATCAATCAGCAAATAATATATACATATATTGTGATAATGTACAATATTGGGATTCTGTCTGTGTTTGTCTGCTATACAAATCTACAGTTATTTATTCCGATCTTGATGAAACTTTACACACTTGACATTTGAAACAAGCGGAAGGTTACTGTTTACTTTTTATCTCAAAATTCAACCCCTAAAGGATAGTTGACATGGGGTTTGTGGTATTTTTGGAACGAAAATTGAATTTAGTTGGTTGATTTATAGGTTACTATACAGCGATACAGATGAAGAAAACCGTTGTTATTATTTAATTTGGGTGTCACAGACAAGGAAGTACCCTTTTCAAAAGATAAATTGCTGGGCAACAACGATTAACTGTGATAGATACAAGGGTGGAAACGGGAAACACGTTAAATTGAATTTCTTATATTGATTTCTGTTTTTTTGAAAAGACTGCGCATGGGAAATACAGGGTAATTCGGCTAGTATAATATCTCTCCGTTCGTGTGTATCAACACAATGATTTTTTTATGTTCTTAATATTTTACGACGCAAAAAATCGTAAACTGAGACCCCTCGTTTGTACATTTTGCAGTATACATGCAGACGTGGCCTAATTGTTGCGCACAATTCCAACAGAGATTCTCACGTATCGTAAAAAAACGCGATTTTCACATTTATTACTATGCCTGGCCAACAGCAACTAAAAGGCTAAATAGCAAAATTACGTTACTTAGAATAAATTAAATTGTCGCGTTAAGGTTGAAATTTTAGTTAAATGCATATAAACGTACGTATTCCCACCTCCTTCCTCCCATTCAACACATTATATGTAACACAATTTAAACAGGAGAATAATTCGTGGACTGCACGTAGCATTTTCTTAAAAAAAATTACGGCCATATTAGTTTTGCTTTTTTCAAATACGAGTAATATCTGTAACATTTTTGATGATAGTATTTTAGGAAAACTACGTAAAGCCCACGAAAATATTTTGCTCTTGGAATGTTTTTATATGCAATAAAATATTAAAGTAAAAACAAAATTATTAAAATGGTTAATACTCGTAAATAAATATATAAATAAAAAATGTATAAATGCGTCACCTGGAGTATTATGATAAGTGCATTATACGACCGGTTTCGAATTAAAAATTCAACATTAAGGATATCACGTTTTTATGTGTGTTTAAACTCCAAGTTAAATTTTCATATGTTCTAATAATATTGTAATTTTGCTACATCACCCGTTAATTACACTAAGATAGTAAATCCGGGTACCTTCTCAATGCACCGACTAGACAGGATTTGCTTTTAGAAAAGTTGTTCACAGACAGAAAAAAATCACACATCATATTCAAACCACAATATTCACCGCTACGCTTTGAACATCAAATACTAGATTGTAAATGGATCGACCGTTTATCAGACTTAAAGATTAAAACATGATCTGTGTCGCGTCGACGGTTTTTTTTAAATGTAATTTTAATTTTGAAGCGTAAACACTATAAGCTATAAACTATACTATACCTATAAGCATTTTTAAATCCTGATACTTCACACACTCATTTAAAAATTTTAATTACGGACAAAAATGACGACGCGACACAGATCATGTTCTTCTTCTAATCTTTAATTTCACAATAGGTTCACTCACTCTAATATTAACATCAACGTCAATACATTATAGAGTTGTTTCCGTTGTACGTGAATTTGTTACATCGCGCGGTTGTGTGACGGAGGCAGCGCATGCGGATATGGCGCCCGATATAATATAAACGGTTTTTTTTTTTTTTTTTTAAGCTGATTTCACCTTTATCCCACACTAAAATCTTATATTTCTGACCCGTCCACATCTCCATACCGCCATCAAAATTCATCTAATTTGCAAACGGCCGTTATACTGTCTCGTCCTCTATGACTATACTGCAATATAATATAATAATAATTTTTGACTATTATAAGACGTATCATCGTTTCTCCTTCTCTCTTCGGGGCAGGTCCATGCCTACATACGATCAACTTAGTTTTGAGTGATCGGGCGAGTTTTCGAATCTTTATTGTGATTGCTAGTAGTATTTTGTCAAGCGCGCGGCGGTCCCTCGTATACGGTGTGTAATAATATTAATAATACTAATACTATGTATGTATATATATATATACGTTATAACCGAACGTATACATTATTATTTTCCGTATACACGCCCAAGACAAACACTACAGCACTCCTCGGGAGGGAACCCTCGGATGATTTATTACGCGTTTTTCGGCCCCAAAGTATACAATAACCACGCAACGTTATCTTCCGATCGACTCGGACACGAGTTCTCCAGCATGTTACACGATAAACGCCAGCAGCGTTTTTAATGCGTCGTAAATATGACATCGATCACTAGATTTAGTACCTAATATAGTGTAAACGGCAGTCGAAAAGCGCACACTCGACAAGTATTTTTTTTTTCTTTTTATATGCTATTATATCTGTAGTGGCCGCCGTGGGTGGCCTATAACTATAATATTATAGTGTAACTAGCAGAATCTCGGGTGAAACAAAAATAGTTGCGGATTTTGTTTTTTTCTAATAACAATTTCGTATGCGACCGTGACATATATTATCATAAAATATTCATCGACGTAAAATACGATGTCGGTCGAATTGAATCCTTAGATCATATACTACGGATGTAGACACAGCGAATTGTTTCGCTGCCGATATCGGCCACATTATTTCGTATTGATTTGTACGCTGCGGCTCCGTGGTGTATGATCCGAGATTGAATCCGGAAATTTCGACTAGCGGGTACCTTAAAACCGTTATCTAGCACCGTAACACCAATAATCACTGGGAAATATAGCCGTCACACTTACGGCCGTTTTTCGGGGAATTTAATTCAGCAAAATATTGCCATGATGGCCTCTTATCATATCGGACCGACTGTGATAATATTTTGAAATTTAAATTGTGCACGCGACCGAAATCACGTTGCGTCTTGTACATTCCAAGTGTGGCTGTATGATAATTTCGAACGAGTCCGCTCTTCGAACCGTGTCATTACGGGAAACCGAAAATCGGCGCGTAAATATTCGGGCCATTATAATGTTTAAAACGCAATCATATTATCATATTATACGACACGTGCGAGACGATTAAATCGGCTCGGCGCCAGAAACAATGGCCCGATTGGGGAATTATGTTTAAACGTATAATTATTTATATCTACGGCTCGAATATATTGTATTCTTTATTGTAGCTGCACGCGGTAGAGCTCGTGTCAGATCGAGACGATTAGATCTGGGTCCGGCGGTGTTCGATTGGCCGAAAACGACGCAAAATCGAATTTACATATATATATACACATTATATATAGATAATGAAAAATGCTTATGCGTTGTAAACCGCCCGACGGTGACAGTGTTACAGGGTCGTGATTTCAATTTGTTTTATTGTTGGTGACGAAATTTTTGCGGGCCATTTCAAATCATTACCAGGCCACAATTATGGGCACCTTTTTTTGGGGGGGGGAGGGGCGGTCAAGGGGGGACATTCCCGCTCTGTCATCTTCTTTTTCGCCTTCGCTGCCAATTGTGTGTGGTCGGCCACCATTTTCATACACCTCCACGGTAACCTAAATACTAACTCTATATATAATATTATAAAACACTTGGGTGCATCGGCGATTATATTTTATTTTTGGCACGCTAAATAAGACGTTTTGAAAACAGTTTGTGCGAATGCACACCCTGCAACCCCCCTCCCCCAAATGACGCACCTACAGTGTTATAAACCGGAATTTAGATTTTCGTTTAACGTATGTACCGAAACATACAGCAGATACCTACCGAACAACAATAGGGCGTAGGGGAAAATTAGACGAGTACACCGCACGCATTAGCTCGATAAAACAAAACTCACACCTGCTCGTTACATTATACGAACACGTGAAAGCTTCGAGTATGGAAATAAATCGAAATAATATGTACTCATATATTATAGTTGGTATAATATGCGTTTACATCTAAAAGTCAAACACAATATTAATCTACATGTGTATAATTTTTTTTTTTTAATAACACTGTAGTGATGTGTTTACACTTTCTTATTTTCGAAAAAATGCGCAATCTGTTTAAACAGACCGAGACGTACGGTGTAAATACTCGTCCAGGTTAATTATGTGTCGGTACGCAGTATTATAGGTATGTACGGTTTATCGATTCGTTATGGAGTATAATAAAAAAAAGCTCGCTCGATAATAGTACCTAATGAACTCATTATAAAATACGAATAAATATTTAGAAACTGTATATTATAATGTATAATGCGTATTATAATCACTTCGACACGTGCATATACGTACACTATACATTATATATTATGCACCTACCAGAACACGACTGTTCGGCTTTATTTATATTCTGCAGGTTTTAACTCTTAATCAAACGATTGAAAAGTAATAGGTCTATAAATCAGTAAATTACCTATATAATGTTTTACTTATGTAAAGATTAAATATTGTACAACAGACCTGTGGCCCATGTGTATTATAACCGGCTACAATGCATTACGGTTTGCCTTTGAATTATAATATCAATTCTCATTTTATTGATTGAACATTTTTTAGAAAATATTTCTAATACACCTACGAACTTACAGTATTCCACGGCACTTCGATCAGGTTCTTCTTTTTCTCCTTCGTCTTAATCCCAAATATTCGATGTAGTCCTAAGCTTTCGGTTGTCTCGATCCCTTGCATTGTCCTCCCATATACTCGCCGTCCTCGTATCATTGTCAATCGCATATAATTACCTCTATTTTGATTACAATTATTCTCACTGTTTTTGATTTTTCTCTTTTCTCTCTTTTTACTTGGACAATTTGTGAATCAAACAGCACTAAAATGTTTCCGTTATTTTTCGGAACAAAACTACTACCTACTTTTGAATTTCATATAGCAATCTTTATTCGAACCCCGCGCACCACGCCTGTCGCACAAAAGATAATATACACTACTCTCCGTCTACCCGAACTTAAAAGCGGAACGTCTCGTCAACGGGTTGACGGAAACTGAACGTTTCAACGCCAAAATGTATTTAAACTAAACTTAGTCTATTTATGCAACTTTAAATATAGGTTGTTGTTTGAAATTCGAAATTGGGTAGCGGTTTCAATTCTCCTCCCCCTCCCAAAAAAAAAATAAAAATAAAGGTGACGAAAAATAACCAAAGTGCAACACTATACAGAGTAACTTGTTTTATAATATTATTCTGGAAGAGAAAAAAAACCATATCCATAAAAGTCAACGTTTTCGTAAATAACGTGTGTCTTGTCGAGGATTGATCACCATCACCGGTGTATTATAGCTTCTTCGCTACACTCGGAATGTAAAAAATAAAAAAAATAAAATAATAATAATAATAATAACCGCTGAAAATATGGCACACGACAACGTCGGCGTTGTGGACACACGTTAACGGATTTTCATAATGTAGACGGCGTTTTCCGGACGGATTACACGAGTCTGTATGCACGCCGTCGCCGACAAAACCGATTCTGTCGACATTAACGAGTAATCCGACCTCGTCCGCGACACGTTTGCGCTTACGTATGTAACACACGCGCGGTGAATATGGTAAAACTGGTCGATAAGTACGCGTATAACACAACATATATCTGTACGCGTTTTTTTCCCCTTTATTTTCTCTCTCTCTCTGTTTCTAATCGTCTGTACACCTGTCACTTTGTCCCGCTGCCGCAGAGACTTTAATACCCGCGCGGCGGTCCGGCACTCGTCCGGCCGTCCGTTTTATAACGCCGCACACCATCCGGGTTGTGTTTAGGTATTATTATTATTATTATTATTATTATTATTACACTACTTATCGGCGTACACGATAATGTGTCCGCCGCCGATAAATCTGACGCGGAAATCTAAAACGCGTGTTCGGTCTGTTTGCGCTCGTTATTCGCCCCACACACACACACACACAAGCGATTGCATGTTATTTCGTATGCATCGTCGTCGTCGTCGGAACGCGTGAGCGTATAATGTCTTTTATAGTGTAGCGCCCGGTCATCGTATCCGCACAACTATAATATTATATTATTATGTTACAGCGGCCAAATATACGCGGGATTTACAGAGCCGAATCGATGTGGATGAGTACCGTCAAGACCGCCGAGTTCCGGAACAACGAAAATCAACCACCCCCCCCATCTCCTTCATTCAAATATGCATGGCACGTGTCCGGCATTTATTTATAAATTTATCAATAACAATCTGTCTATTACAATTTATCTGTTACAACACATCCCGTTCAACATCCCAGTTTTTTAATAACCGTTCCACTTTTATGTTCTATTAACCATCACATAGCACAAACTACTTAAAATATTCCTCAATTCCAAGAGCCATGTCCCTGTGTGTACTGTATTTCTACTTTTCTCCACTTAGCATGATTCATACAAAATATTTTAACAATGTTGTATATTATCTGTTATATTAAATTTTATTTTGTTTTTTTATTCTTATTCCGATGAATTTTATGTTTATTATTGTATATTGTTTAACGTTTAACATAATACAACAATCTAATTGTCTGTATTATTGGGCAATTGCCCGTTTTATTGTTCTGAATAAATTATTAAAATAACTATTATTTTTTTTATTTTGAATTCACTAATGTGTTTTATAGTTGATACGAAGGCGGAGATGAAGAATATTGTTTTATCGATACTACCAAATTAATACTGTAACTGATAATACGTGAAACACGATGTTAATCATCAGTAACATACGGAACCCTCAGTTTCACGATTGATGGCCTACCTATGCCCCTTATTACTGTGTCTGTTATTCATAGTTATATTCACATGAAGTTTGTTTATAATTATTTTATTTTTTTATTTTTTAGCATAAAATATTTAATTATTTTTGAATTTCATATGTAATTGTTACATTTGTATAATATATAATATTGTTAATTGTATTATTTGTATATTGTACACACGATGTTATATTTATTGTTATGTATGGTCATACCTGTACTTGACAATTATACATGAAACATTAAATAGTATTTTATAGTTATGTAAATATCTAATAACGTTCATTCAATTTGGAAATTTATTAAATTGTTTTTATATTGCAATCAATGAACAAAAATAATAATAAGGGGTAAAGGTAGGCTACCAATAGTGAACCGCGGCCATTCGTTTTCCAATTTGTCTACCAGAAAGCTTACTCCGATTATCAAGTACAGCACCTTTTCTGAAAGGAATAATATTCTCTAGGTGTTACTTTAACACATTCGTAGACAATTGAAATTCTTTAAAGGAAAAAAAAAACTATTTTGAAATACGCACTTAAATACTACTACTATAGCAGTATTATTTTGGGTAAATTAAGTCAAAGAATAAATAAAGTTGAAGATAATATAAAAATAAATAATAATACCGTGCCCAATGTTTTGAAGTATTGTATAAAACCATTGAAAATAATACTGCTATAACAGCAGTTTGTTTTTTTAACGATATATATTCTATTGCTTTAGCAGTAGTTGTCCATGGATGTGTTATAAAGGGTATTTTTTGGAAATTCTCATTAATATTATTCGAGATAATAGGAAAAACCTGGTTCTTTAGGTTAAAAAATATTGAAAGTGTAATAATAAGATTACTGGCAACCGTGTTTGTTTATTTGTTGTTATTATTAAGTTTTTATTATTTTAATCTTTTTAAACAACCATTGTTGTCATGGAAACGCGCATTATTATAATAATTTTACCATCATATGACAAATATGTATTGTTAACAAAGCAAAACTGTCAGCCGAATTCCGTTCAGTATCGTTTTTTCGTTAGCAATGGTTTATCGTTGCTTACAGATATACATTCAATTCCCGTGTGTATCCTACATTCCCAACTTACCACCTACAACAGTGGCTGCAAGACAGTTTTTTTAATTTTTTTTTTTTTTTTTTAATTAAACTAATAATAACAATAAAAATCGGAATAGCGGTGACTAGTGAGTAGTGGCAGACTGTAGAAGAAAAAAAAACCTAACTTTTGATAAATTGTCTTCGGCAAAGACCCGATATTTAGAGAACTATGTATGCTCTGGCCGTAATTTGTACGGCGGTTCCGTAGTAACACAATTACACGGTGTACGGTCATAACAACGTGCAACGGTACACGCGGAACGTGCGCGGCACGTGGCGTTTACTCGCACGGAATATTCGGCCGACGGCCGCGGCCGTGATTGATTTGCGAAAAGAAAAACCGTGTAATTAACACGTTTTAACGTAAACGCCGTGACATACCCGGCGTCGGGCCGCGGCGAATCCGGCCGCGTCCGCGCGCGTGTGCACAGCACGTCCGCTCGTGTGCGGAGAGTGGTGAAAGCGGCGCGTTAAAAGCCACCGCAACAGCGTCGGCGGGCGATACCGCGTTTTTCAACGCGGGTTTTTTTTTTTTTTTTTTTTTTTTTTTGTTTTTTTCTCGTCTGTTTGTTTCCGGATTCTTTCCTCTCTGCAGAACGTTGTGCGCGCACGCGTTTTAAACGTCCGTTCTAGCAGAACGTCTACGGCGGCGACGGCGGAAAACGGACCGTACGATCGACGGGTATCGGCGAGGCCGTCCGTCCGTCCGGCCGTTGCCGTATCACGGCCGTTCGTTCGCCGGAAGCCGTTTTCGCCGCGAGAAACGTGTTTCGGGTGGCATTCTTCGCTGGTCGGCCGCTAAACCAGCGGCCGCGTATTTTGAGAATACGTCGCGGGAGGCTGGGACGTAACTTCCCGAAGAATGAACCGCGCGGGCTCCGTCTACACGACCTCCCGATCCCCTCCGACAGCGGAGCAATGCGCGGAGAACACTGTAAGGCGTTGCACGCTGATTTATTGAAAACCCTCAATATTCTCGCGCAGAGCCGAACAATATTTTAATATGGTTTTGTTTTTTGTTACACTTAGCAGTTTAAATTTTCGAAAACGAAAAAAATAAATAACAATAAACGTCGTCGAAACAAATACATTCCTCGGTCCGCTCAGAATCTAAAGAGACTAGTGGTTAAAGCGGAAGCATTCAAGACGAACAAATTGTGTCGTGCACGTGCATATCTAATCAACGGTAAACAATTCCGAGTGTGTGAAAATGTGTACTACTAAGTATAATAACACTAAAAACACAAAATTAAAATTGCACGGCACTGTGCTCCTGTGTTTTCAATATTAACGTTTACACACTATACTCGTACATCATGAACACGACAACAGGCTGCTACACGACTGCCGCTGTTTTATAAGGAAAATCTGAACGAAAGATTTATAGAACAATTTAATTTATAATCGTATGCAACGATAAACTATTGTTGACGTAAAACGATTCTGAGCGAAGTATTATTAGTTGTATTTTGTCCATTGTGGCATCCGGTAGGCAACCCGATAAAAACTGCACAAAAAATTGCTAGTTTTAATTGGAAAATGGTCTTTCGGCGCATCGAACAGATCACAAATGGTACAAGAAAGTTTTAAACAGTGTTCGATTGAAGCGAGATTTCTAGTGGAAAAGCGGTTGCAGACACAACCTTTTGCCGTACCAACTAAAATGTTGTCCTCCCATAACAATTTCTGTAGATATAAGTACCGTATACGTACAAAACGGTAGAGACGAAATGATGTCCAATATGATATTACGGATACCCCCCAGGCTAATCATTTTGTACGAGTCGAGATTATATTCCGACTATGGCGTTCTCAAACGGTCTTTTATTTTTATAATAATTATTATTGTATTACTTACTCGTTGCGGGTGGTCGGAAAAAAAAACTCGATTCGCCGTTTATAAATCACGCTCTCCTGCACATTTTTAAAAGCCTGTCGAACGGGACGCTTGTACACCGCAAAACCATCACGTCTGCGGTTAAAGTCTTTACGTAGAACTCTAAGTGTAGTACATTAAAACCACAGAGGGGCGATTTTTTTTTTTTTTTCTATTTTCGATTATAGATTTTATATAAATTTATTATGTTTTCATTGTACATTATCAATACGGATCGCCTCTTTCACGGCTCGTTTCGTTTTACGGACTCGTTAACAAAGCGCTATACGTGATAAATAGTGACGTGCGCGATGCAGTCGGAGTTAGGGATATTCCCGTCATTGGCTTAAATTTGCTACAACTATGTAGATATTTATTTCGTAACAAGCAGTCCCGCCGGGCTTTACCCGTGCAATAAAAAAAAGTTTCTAAATAAATTCAATAGACAAATTATCGTTGCATACTATTACCATAGATACACCCGCACAGAACAGGGATTGTATTGCATACATTTATAACAATGTTTTTTTTTTCATCCGTATTACCGAGGTAATCCATAAATCAACAAAAACAATTATATTTGTATACTGAAAATACCTAAACACCGAATTTTAGGGAATGGTGTTCAATTAGGGGCGGATTTCATGAATAGCTGCAAAACCTCCTCCGGACAACGCGAAACGATTTCCCCAAGTTTCACGGCGATCGGATAAAGGACAAACAGACATACCAATCATTTGTATGTGTTTATAAAAGGTATACAATCTTGAAATGTAATAAAATATATTTCGGTCAAGTTACACCGCAAATAACTCGATTTATCGAACGATAAAAATCGGCTCTTTTGGAATCGACTTTTATTCCCATCGTCGGGTTCGGTACACGTAAAATAAGATTCTACGATTTATTAACGATTATTATTTATTGTACGCGCTCTCCCGTTAAAAATTCCCGGGCGCGCCACTGAATCGAGAAATCTGCCGACTATAAAAGTTCAACGGTTCCGTGCTCGTTTCCCCCGTCCCCGCTATACGACAAAAAAAGCGATTTCAGTAGCACGGGGTGTATTTATTTATTCACTCGTTGGATTTATGGGACTGGCCCTCTGAGAGAAAAAATTGAACGTACGCAGGCTTTGAATTGAATTACAATCAATTGCCGCGCATAAAAATTCATTACGAGTTATGGGTATACAGGGTGTCATTAGACCCGAAAGTATGTCATCGTCTAGCGAGGGTATCCACGTTAGGAAATTCGGAAACAGGGGTGTACACGATGGTGTATCGCGTGTGTGTGTTGCATAAACCCAGCGAACCTGAGGAAATTTCTTCGTACCATTTCCAGCTCCGACGAGAGTTGCCTTGTTATTTCTCGGTTACAAAAAAAAAAAAAAAACGCCGACCGATAATCACTGCGGCGATCAAAAACATTGGAAACGGCAAGACTGGTTGCAGGCGTGATAACGAAACCGCGGAAATCGTAATCGGAGCCAATCGAAAGACAGGATCGGCGTGGGGTTACCTAACAGTGTATACGCACCACGCGGTGCGGCCGGGAAAAGCGCACGCGCGTCAATGACGGCAATGTCGGACGG